AGGGGGGGGGGGGGGTCTGATGGCCCATCACGGTGTTCCTGAATTGCACCAGGACAGGTATGCAGTTGGTGCCCTGGGAGCAGCCCAGATAGCCTCTCAGTGCTCCTGGGTACAGGTGGGTGGTGTTCACGTCCCTGCCCCAAAGCAGCCCATCCTGGGGGTGGCCAGTTAGTCCCATCGGCCCCCTCCCCTCTCCCCGTTGGCTTTCGGTAGCTCTTGCATGCGGTTTTATTAACAACGGTCTAGAAGCAACGCTCTAGTGGCTTAACCCAGGGTCAAATTCTACTCTTTTCAGCAAAATCAGGCAGCCGCCCTGCCCACTGGAGATTAGTCTACTAACAGCCAAAAGCCCACACCGGGAGGGGCTGAGCCCCCGGGGCGGGCTGGCAGGTGGCGAGCGCTTTCCCTGTGAGCATCTGCGCCTGCCCAGTGTGCGCTCAGCCACGCCCCCTCCCCAGGTCCTCCCGCACCCTTCCCTTCCCCAAAGTGGAATTGTTGAAGTGTGGCGAGTCCGTGCTCGAGACAATAAAGCTTGTGACTGAGGTCCAGGACCCCTGCAGTTTCTGCTTCTCTCTGTGGCTTCCCTGGGCTCCCCCATCCTCTCTCAGCTCACTGGCACCCTGGTGCCAGGAGTGTGTCTTGATCCTATTCCTGGTGGACTGCCAGCTAATTCTTACTCAAGTGTGAATGGCTGATGAGGGCCTGGTGTGGCTGCCATGTCCAAGGAGAGGGAGCTCAGCAAGAACAGGCAGAGAACCAGAGATGGGGGCAGCAGCGGAGGCCAGGCAAGGTTGCCAGAGAGGTCTGGGGGGTTGGATTTGAATCTGTTGGAGGTATAAGTGGGCCCACAAGGAACAATTGAAAATACAAAATAGTGATGGATCAGCTAACACAAATTTGATGCGTTCGGTGAGAACACTTAAGACTTCAGTGAGCCAATCCTGTCTCCTGCAGCAAGATGTCTATGGATCAAATGGTCAACGTTTTGCAAGCTTTATGGTCATTTTGCAGGCTGTGCAGTTGAGGGTCCTCCCGCCCGCCCCCGTGGAGACTGAACAAGGCTCTCGAGGTTAACAGCTCAATGTACCCAGAAGCTTTGTGCTCCTTCTCAGGCACTGTATCAGCAGAGTCCTGGAGGAAGCAGTGGGGCCGTGCGAGGGGGAATAAGAGTTTAAGGAGGGGCTGTGTGCACAGGTGTGGACAGGGCAAAGGAAACCTATGAGGGTCTCTACTACCCCTCCACCCCCAGCCGCTCTTGCCAGCCCCTCCCATTGGCTGAACACAAGCAAAAGCCAAGGCAAGGGAGCCTATTGGAGACCGTAGAGGTCAGCTCCTGGGGCACAGCCAGGATGGAGAGGGGCGTGCACAGTGGGTCTGGAGGTGGGGACAGATGGAGAGCAGTCAACACAGTGTCCGTCCGGGGCAGATCTGGGATAGATTGAAACAGCAGCCAATTCTTAGGTTTCTGCCACCTCCGATATAAATGGTCTCTGTCTTTCCAGAACTCATCAGCCCAGTATTCCGAAATTCAGGGAGCTTCTGCAAAGATCCTCTCCTCTGAGACTTACCAAACACCGCTGTGACTTATTGGGGTTTTCTTTTTCCATTTTACCCAAGGCACCGTGTTAGCCCAGTCACCCACCTGGCGATGATGCTAAGTGGGTCACCCTCCCCCAGGTAAAGCGTTTCCGGGACCAGTTTAACCTTCGGTGGGAACTCCACGCTGGGGGCTCGTGGTCGGAGAAGAGAGAGACCCCCCACCCGCTCATGGCTCCCAGGCCAGCAGCCGACGTAACCCTGTGTTAGCTGCTGTGAAGAGGTTGCTGGGGGCGGGGGCAGGGGGGAAGGAAGCGTGGGCAGGCAGGGACTGTCAAGGGGAGGGCGAGGGGCCTGGTGTCTCTGGCCCTTACAGGGGCTGAGGGTGCATGCGACCTGAGGCCAGATGGAGGAGGGCTTGAATCTCATGGAAGGAGCTTCCTGAGTCCTTATCTGTCCAGGGCTCGGCATCCAGGAGGTGCGGGATGAAAGGAGGACACCTGAAGGAGGGTGAGGGGGCCGTCCGTGGGGGGTGAAGTGACGACAGCCTGCCACAGAGTCCTGCTCACAGGGGCTCAAAGCCTGGGGGGCGGGAAGCCCAGGGGTGGGGACTCAGGGAGGTGTGTGCAAAGTCAAAGCCCTGGAGGGCGGCCTTGAGCCCTTCAGAGCTGTACCCCTTGAGGGGGTGGGGTGTCTCTGACAGCATCACCCTGGGAAGAGCTCAGGCACTGGACATCCTTGGGGTCCAGCCCAGCCCGCCACCCTCTGGCTGTGGGCCAGGCCCATTTCTCCGCTTCCCTGAGCCTCAGTTTCTTCATCTGTAAAATGGAGAAAATAAAACTGATCTTGTGCACCGTGGGGTCTAAATGAGACCGTGAGAAGCCCTTAGGTTATGGGCTACACCTGGTGGTTTCCTTCACTCTCCCAGCCTAGCAGGGAAGTTGTCCTTTCTCCATCTGTAGGCCTCTGGGAGCCCTCACCCCCAGCTTGGTGGGCCCCTGGACAGTCCAGTTTAGAGGCAGCAAGCTCGCTCCCCCCAGAGCCGGGTCTGGGGTATGGGTGGCAGGGGGCGGGGGCCTGCCACTCTGGGCAGAGGGTGTCTCGACACCACCCCAGGTCGATTTTTTGGTTTTTTTGGCTGCACCACGCGACATGCAGGACCTTAGTTCCCCAAGCGGAAATCGAACCTGGGCCCCCTGCAGTGGAAGCTCAGAGTCGTAACCACTGGACCACTAGGGAAGTCCCCTTGACTTTCCTAACTTTTAAGTGTTGCGATAATGTCAGCCATACAGAAGAACTGCGGATAGAATTCCTACACACCCTTCACCAGCTTCCTCTCGAGTAAACTCTTGTCCAACCACAGGACGATGACGCAAATTAGAACACTGACACTGGTAGGGTGCTGTGGACTCAAGTACAGACCTTATTTGGATTTCACCAGTTTTTCCTCTAAATATCCCTTTTCTGGTCCGGGATCCCATCCGGATCCCACAGGGTATGGATTCATCATCCAGTCTGTAGTTTAGCGGACTTTCCTGGTGTTTCACGACCTTGACACATTTGAAGAGCATGGAAGAGCTATGTTGCACAGTGTCCCCCAGTTTGGTTTGTCTGGTGTTTTCTCACGATTAGATGGAGCCCCGAGGTGGTGTGCCCTCTCGGTGCACCATATCGGGGGTACCTGATTTCAGTCAATCTGTGTTAGTACTAATGATGCTTAACCTTGATCGCTTGGTTAAGGTGACGTGTGCTAGTGTCACCGACCAGGGTTCTTGGCCTTCCCCAATCTATAGAAATTGAATAGAGGCCAGACAAGAAATTTGGGCAAGGCTTTCCTGGGGCCCCTGCTGCAGCAGGGGGCAGTGAAAACAAACAACAGGTTCCCTTGCTCGCTCCCTGAGGGGGGCAAGCTTGTTTCTTATATGGGGTAAGAGTAGGGGTGTGTCCAGGGGTCAGGCCGGAGGGTTGGCTTAGGAGTTTTGCCCACCCCTTAGGTGATGCTGTGTGCAGGGGCCAGGTGCAGTACCCTGCTTATGCTCTTTAGTCCCATACATTTTCTTTGTATTTTATTGCTCAAGGAGAGGTGTGTCCAGGTGCAAGCATTGCAGCACTGCAGCAAAGGGTCCCAGGTCCCAGCCTGTCTCACTAGGATTCTCCACTGTCAAATTACTCTTTTTTTGCCGTTTCTAATCGTAACTATTTTGGAGGATATACTTTGAGATTATGCAAATGTCCCATTTCTCCTTAAACTTTCACCACTGATTTTCGCATCTGTCCACGGAGCTTGCCTGCTGTAATTATTACTATGATATTCTAATAGTGGTTTTCTAGTTCTCTCATTCTGTCTCCATTTACTAACTGGAATTGTTCTGTAAGAGAGAATTGTTTCTTCTCCCCCATTTATTTATGTATTTATTTCGCTATGGACTCATAGATATTTATTCCATACTTTGGGTTATTATCCAATGCGATTGTTATTTACTTTATTTTTCAAGTTGTCCTAGCCCTGACCATTGGGAGTGCCTTCAGTTGGCTCCCCTGTCCCTTTTTGTTTTGGT